TCCTCCTACGCACAGAGTGTAAGATCTTCGTTTTCGTCGGGCTTATGGTAATCAACCGCTCCGCAAACGTTTGCGTTTAGTGTTTTACGTCGTCGGATTATACGCTGCGAAGACACGGTAGCTGCGAGAGGGCATAATGACGCTTAGACGATCAGAGACGATAATAAACGCAATAGCATTACCATAATTATGGCAACATCATTAACCGACGCGACATTAACCTACTGCCAGTATAATGCGCGTACAAATTTAGACATGTACGTACATATATATATATATATATATATATATATATATATATATGTACGTATATATATATATATATACAGCTATTATTCTCAAGTGCATTTTTTCTAAACGCAAACGTACAGGGTTTGTCCGGAAAGTAATGCGTCGCATTTTTTTGTGACGCGACTATACATCGCAGAGCGATGGGACCGGTTGGGGAGGAAGGGGGGTACCCTTAGCTTTCCAACGGTAGGTCGCTCAATGTTTCCATGCGCTTGGAGGGTTAGGACGGCTTATTCTGTGAACCTCTGCTTAGTGGTCGCGTCGAATTGTGATGGAGAGAACGATAGAGCAACGCTATGCGATAAAGTTATATTACGGCCTACCTGACCCAGATCGGTGTGGCAACGGTGCCGCAGCCGCCCTACAGTCCCGACTTGGCCCCGGCGGACTTTTTTTATTTCCTCGGCTGAAAAGGGAGCTCAAAGGACAACAGCTCGAGTCGGTTGACAACGTACAAGCTACTTCGACGGCCTCCCTGAACAGCATCCCAGTCAAGGAGTTCCAGAAATCTTATGACGCATGGAAATCGCGTTGGCAAAAATGTATTGACGCAGAAGGGTCATACTTCGAACAATTTTAAGTTGTTTTACCTATGCGATCAATAAATTCTTTTTTAAAAAAATGCGACGCATTACTTTCCGGATAAACCCTGTATATTAATTTTCCTTTTCAACGCGCGTCAATGACGATTAATATTTAAGGGCGCGACGATAACATTCTCAACTTTGATCGAGACGATATTATATTTCCAGACGGATTTTTTTGCGCGGAGCATACACAACACGGCACGGTCGTGCGGGACCGTAAAATTTTGTCAGGACGCAAGTCCTCCTCCGCGCGGAGATCCCGCAGGACAACCTAAGAAAATACAAAAAGTCCCCCGGGGGAAACGTTACGGCTGGCGCTCGTAAGTTTACCGTCGTCGACAAATTAATGTTCTCGGATTACGGAAGCGGGCCGCAGGGAAAGATTTCCGTCGAGGACCGTCGAAGCCGTTTTCAAAATTTACTTTAAGCCGCGCGGCTACATCCGCTATTTTCCGTTCCGTCTCGCCTGCCGCTGCTCCCTTCGATTTGCTCTCGCGCGTTATTGCGAACGTCTCGCCTTTCGGCGACATTTCCATCCTTTCGACCTTTCTAAAGTAAAATATAAAACGGTTTTGCGCGAGAATTCTCGTCCATCGAATATTCAAAAATAATACCAAATCCATCAACCGATAATATATAATTAATTATAGTCATTTATTATTACGTTAAGGCTGCTATTAATCTAATATATTCGCTACATAGTACTATGAACACAAATATTAATGGCATTTTAAAATAGAATTTAATTTAACTTATTTATTAATTTATGTAATGAATTAAAAATACAATAAAAACAAAAATATATTAGTATATAAATTATTTTTAAATTTCAATCGACACGATAATCGGCCGGATTAACAGCGGATTAATGCGGCACTTCCTGCCTACCTTGGTCATGCGTATTATGAGACCGCGGTCTGGCAACTTGACTCTGAACTTGCTTGAGAAACGAGAGAAAACACCTGGAACGTATCTCCCGCGCGCTATCCTCCTCTCGTCTTATTCCCTTATTTTCTCTCTCACAGTCTGTCTGTTTTCGCTTTCTTCTTGCCGTTTACGACATCGATACGAGTCAAAATTACGTTGCCGTAATAGTACATGCACGAATAATGCACACAAAAATGCCTTAACTATGACTCATGAATTTATGTACATTTCGGAGCACGTGTGCTTCGTGTGTTAAGATATTTTTGTGTGCATAATAAACCAATTAATGTACATAGCAGAATATTTTGAATTTTCGTCGTACACTGAAAAAATTCATATTCTCAATTATGAAAATATATTTCGTATGAAATTACATATAATCTGTAATCTTCCATATGGGTAGTAATATTGCATGATTATGCCGAGTCGAAAAAAACCCAGCGTAATCATGTAATTTTGCACAAATATTTTTTTCAGTGCATGCAATTCGTATTTCAAAAATTTTAATTATAACTAAGTAGCGCGAGAATTATAAAAATCTTAACTCCTCCCCCTTATGAGTGTTTAGCAAATTGTTTGAAAAAATTATGGGGCGAAAATTTCTGTAACTTTTAACGTTACTTCCTCGTGCGTACATTTCATTTTTAATTACAAAAATTTCTACAAAAGAGAGATATCGCGCGAATCGCAATGAAATTTTTGCCGAGAAAAATCGGCTGCAAATTGCACGTGGAATCCGCACTGTGCCACGGCCCAATTTTTAGCCCGCCTTTCATCCCCGATCTCGGGAAGCGCTCACAATCGCTCATTAACAGATTTCTTCGCGCCGGCAGCGAATTAAATCGCATCGGTGCCGCGGATTGCATTCAGGTCGACCGGTGCACGTCGACACGTTCACTCGGGGTGCATTTAAATAAAAAGACACGAGCCCCCCGTTCACCCGGGCGATATATCTCGCGCGGGCACGGGACAAAATCGGGTTGGTTGGTTGGTTTCCAGAACTGGAAACCCGGATGGAAGGGGATCGAGACGACGGGGAGGGGAGGATCGGAGGGGTCAAATGGCGGGCAGAATGCGCGGTGATTGCTGAAGGGCCGCATAATTGCACCCTTTGTGGTGCAATCAACGGCGCAACTTGGACGGCGCCTACGTCTATCGGCCCCTTCCTCTCTTTCGCCACCCTTCCCATCTCTCTCTCTCTCTCTACCATTCCCGTCCCTCGCATTAACGGGGGCGTCATCAGCGGCGATCCGATCGTTCCTTAAATATCGCGGCAGTTATCGCTAAATACACTTCGCCCGGCTACCGTCGCGAGCGTCACGGATTTTTGGAATTCCGTTCTCGTTCCTGCACGGCCTTGCCGAGATGAAGATTATGTGCACATTGATAAGCGATAAGCGATGAGGCGGGAGATGAAAATGGATGAGCTCGAGCTTATTAAACAATAAAAAAGCGCACGCGTGGAATTATTCACATAAATTACTTATCGTTATGAAGGATGTTTCCAATTAATTGACAAATTTCGGCAATATATTAAGGAGAATCTGTATCCCCTAAAAGTATATAATACAAAGAAAATTGTAACTTGTATTAACATTGCATCTCCGCCAAATTTCCTCTGGAATATTCTCAATATGTGAAAAATCGAAGAATATCGTTATTCGATATTTTTAACAAAAAGAAAAAAAGAATGAGCTATAAGATATTTTTTGAAAAAAAAATTGAAGATTAAAAAGAATCAATATACGTATATAAATAACCTTATATCTTCCGCTTATATAACTACTATTCACAGTTTGCAGTTCATTGTTCATCGCTCGCCAATATGCAACGCGGTCAAAACGAGACGGCCATCGTGAAAGGTCGAGCGAGATTTTCGTATCGCGAGGACAACCGCAACACGGCACAATAGAAAGTAATGCGTCTCGCTCAGTAAAATTTATACGCTATTCAACCCGCGCACAAACGTCGGTAAATTCCGTTGAATTAACCATCGCCAGGCGGCGGTATCGGGGAAGAGCGACTAAGCGGTTCCACGGAACGATTCACGTATTCGATTTCTCTCATCCGCGTTCGCCGTTAATGCCGTTCCAATCCTAGAAACCTGTCGAATTTTATCGGATTCGAATTCACGGTATCTAACACCGTACGCAAAAATACTTTCCGATAAATAATCCGACAAAATTAATTACTTTCGAAATTCTGAGAAATAAAATTTAAATCGGAATTTTTTCGATTCGACACTTTATGAGAGAGATCGTTATAGAAATACATTCGTTTACGGACCTTCCTTACGTTATTTTTCAACTATTTTTCGTTTTATCTTTATGAAGTACCATATACGATGAAAATGACAGGGTTCTTGCAAACTGCACGCGGCGTTGCCACGGCTCCCGATTTTAATCGCTCGATTTAATGAGGCGGTAAAAGAGAGAGAGAGAGAGAGAGAGAGAGAGGATCGGGATACAAAGTGGAACGCGGACAATTAGACGGAAAAGGCTGGCGTCTCGGCAAGACGACTGCGCAAGAACTGGTCGATCTTGAGACATCCTGCACCACGTGGCGTTCGAGCGTGTTTATCTCGCAGGATTCGCTTCCATCGCGTCAGTCTATTAATTTAGAATAGCCTGCTTCAACGTCGGATGAGAGCAATGTTTACGTAGGGAACGAACTCTGCAGGCGCAATTCTGCCTCCTCCGGGATTTTACTTCCACGTGGTAAAGTGCCTACGCGTATGACGCGCATCCGGTGAACGAATTCGCGCGATTGAGGAGCACTGGAGCTTGAGGCTGGCGACACGACGATGCCATTACCGCGTCGACCTTCTCCCACACCCTCTCCATTCTTCCCTCCCTCTCTTTCTCACTCTGTCGCTTTTCTATTCCCATCTCTCTCTCTCCCCTAGTTTCTCCTACCTGTCTCTCTCCGATATACTTGCGCCGTCCTTTTCGTCTTTCATCTTGTCCGTGCACCGCAAGTCTTGAATTATACAGACAGCGCCACTTAAAATAATACACCCGGTACAAACTGAACATCAACGCTAAAACCTGTCGTTTTCTGTAAGCCGGAATTATGGAAATTCCGTCGTGGCCGTTAGTAGTGTCCCTCTTTCCCTCAGCTACCCTCTTCTCCGCCAACCCTTCGCAAAAAGCATACGGACGAGGTAGAAATAACGCACTAATTTTGTGTTTTCAGAAAAAGACTGGACGAGACGGCGGTGTAAACAGACAGATTGCAATGTGCACAATTGCAAGGTAAATGATTATTTAATAATACATTGCGTGTAGCGAAGGAAGTATCTGTAGAAAAGAAACCGACTTGCAATTTTCAATAGAATCTGCGATTCAGAGTGATACACGATAGATAAAGAACATATCGCGATAATATTTCTAAAATGGCAAAAAGATGGAAATTGATGTAAACACAAGACGCGTAATTCTTTCCCCTCGACACTCTTTTCATCCCGCGGCTTATAGAATACGATAGTAGGTGCTGCGCGATACTTTCGCAAAGTATCGTAAGAGCAGTTTGCAGATAGAAAATCGGGAATCGCGAGGAGGGAGAGAGAGAGAGAGAGAGAGGGAGGGCGGTGGCTAATAAAAGACTCGCTTAATTAGAATCTTCGTTAAGAGGCCACGCGTAAGTCCCCTCCTCGCCCCTCGCACCCCCTTCTCCTTCGTTCTCCATGGCCGACCGAGGGAGAGATCGCCGAGAGGTAAAAACGTAAGAACTATTTTCATTAAACTCGGCGAGTTCTCGCTGCAAAAGTCTTCCGCTTTTGTAGACGAGTGGCCGCACGTAAAGAGATTAAGCCGATGGAAACACGGACAGGGCGGAAAGGGGGAGGGACCCGCGTAGGGGGTATGTTTCGTTATTAATTCGCTCTTATTAATTCCACTCGAGAGATCCGAATGGAATGGCATATTCGACGCCGCACGTTGTCGTCGAATCGATTCCCGACTCTTCTCTCCGCACCCTCGCCAACCCCTTTTCCTCCGCGCAGCCGGCATTTCTCTCCTGATGACTTCAATTCGGATCGTTAACGCTGATTTCCGTTAAATTGCCGTACAAAAGAATTTTTCTCGAGGAGCGGCCGGGATTCTCTTAAATGACCCGCATCGTCGTCGCACGTTTTTCGGTATAGCGCCGGTCTATGCACTCGCTAATCTAAAATTGTAATCCGTAAAGATTGTACTTTATATTCTTGGCAATCTTCAAAAATTCTCCCCGGTGCTTTTTACATATTACATTATTATTATTTTAATCGGAAATCGCCTTTCGTGCGCGTCGAAAGAGAGAAAGTCGACATCGCTGCGTTATTTGTGAGAAAAAATCAACGTAACTGACGATTCGCGAAAATCGAACGGTCGCAACAAAGAAACGCGAGGAAGAATCCGGTATCTTTTCGACACGCGCGCGGACACGGCGGAACCTTCTTTCAAGTGTTCGGTCCAATTTTCCGTACGTTACGTTAACGTACGTAACATCGCGGCCGAGTTATTTCAATGAGTCGTATCGTAGGAGTAGAGAACGGCGGCGGACAGACGCGAGGAATGGGAACCGACGACGCGGCGCAGTCACTGATTTAACGCGAGACAATTGAATCTAATTACGACCGTCGCGGCAGCCAGTGATACTCAATCCCGCCCATTCCGCGTCGCGGTTTTTTCCTCCCTAGCTCTCTCTAATTCTCCATCGGAGTCGATATTGCGCGCGCCAACGCTGAGCTCCGCGGCAACGGTAATATTTTTCCCCGGCCCGTCAATTTTCTTCTCCATTATGGATAACTATTAAAAGACTTGGTAACGGCACATGCTAAGCCGCGAGATTGAAAACGAGACTGTAAGTCTTTAATGAGATTCGGTATCTAAATTTCCATCGGAGATACATTACGTGCTCCGATGAAAGATATTAAATTAAACTTGAATTTTTTCTTATTATTATTAAAACGTTAATGGAACTTGTAATGCGCGTGGGCTAAATGCGTATTTCGATTGCGCGGAGACAAGAACGATCGCCCGTGTGACGTGTTAAACGGCGACACGCGGATGTAACGAGGTGCGAATATTGCGGAAAATGGGCGAGGGCGATTACATTATGCTCCTTGCGGAACGGACGTTAACGATCTCGCATTACGATTCTCCGGTGTCTCGCATTAGCGACGTTAACACGCCGCGCTGTAATAACGTGTATCGCGATCTCTCGCGCACGACCTAACCGGTCGACGCGCACCACTGGTTGCTCCGTCGGGGCGCCAACCGCGCGCGTCGTCGGGCGCCCCCGGCTGTTCATTAGAGGCCGCATTGTCCGCTAACCAAGTACAGACACAGCCCTATCCACAGCCCTCGGCCAACCTACTGATCTCCGAGGGCTCTCGTGAGCCCCCCTCGCGCGAGACTAGACTGCACGTAGAATCTCTTCCAGTCCTCGCAGTTGCTCCGCTCCATGGAGCTTCGTGTTCCAATCTGCGAACCTTTGAGGTTCGAGTGGCAACGCACTTGAATCCCTGCAGCCCGGCTAATGCGATGCAGGTACTTCCGCTCCCTTCCGCAGCGATTACATACTTAACCGTGTACCAATTTACCATCTTCGATAATTCGTTACGTTATTTAATTCTTTGCCTTACTCATATATGAGATTAGTCTTCTATTTTCATTTCAATGTCTCGAGGTATTTATGCTAATGGAAAATCTTTCGTTTATATATTTCAAACATAGATTTTTTATCATTCAAAATTCAATTATTTAAAAACTAGCGAAGTATGACATAAAATTTGCAATCGAGCAGAGAACTCTCCGAGGGGAAAAAAGCTTGCAATCTTTTTCTCCCGAATATGAGAACTTGTATTTCTCTAATAATCGTGGTCACAGTACGGTAAGAGCCGGAACATGTTCTTGTCAGCCGTCCCATCTTACATTATCGCGCTATTATTATTTTATCTTCTACAGTAGCTTTTATCTTTTTTTCTCTCTCTCTTTTGCCCCGCTTGCGCCGTGTCTGGTGGCTCGCACTGCTCGACAAACCACTTTCACCCACTCTCATCCCTCCGTCTTTTCCCATCCGCTCTTGCCGACACATCCATCCCCGGTATCTCACACTCCGCCGCCACTCGATTCAGCCTCGCCGCGACGCCACGCCACGTTCGATTTCCACGCGAGAGAGGACGACGCTGCTGCTGCTGCTGCTGCTGCTGCCGCTGAACGTCGCGCAAAGTGCCGGTCGAAGAGTCTCCCTTACTACTTCGCCCGGCAGGATCGGTTTTTGTGCACTCAACGATAGTGGAAGTTTACTGTCGCCCGTGATACGTCGACTCGACGTACATTTCAGCTATAGCTATCGCACGGGCGAGGAGGCTCTTCCATCGGAATGCATTGTGCTTGATGGAAACAATCAATCGGATTAGGCGCGTCCGTCGCGAAACAAGTTTATTTCGATCCATTAGGGATTACGATTTAAACATTCACGCAAGAAAGATACGAGAGAGAAATTAATGATGTCTGAGGATACATATTAGGAAATGGCAAATTGCTCGCTTTACGACTGAACTGCCGAAATTGCGAAAGAATTCAATTAAATCGAAGAAAGGGAGCAATTAATTCTTTTAACTTCTCTGTCATCGGCTACGTCTTAATCAAGTACCTAATAACAGCGTCGCAATCTATGAAAACGTGAACAATATTAATCAATGTCGAATTATCTTTAACCCTCCGACTGAATGTTTGCGGCGTTCGATGCTACCTTTCTCAATACCGTTAAACAATTTTAAATAAAAAATGAAAAAATTCGTAAAACACGTCTGTCTACATTGTGATTTCATAGTCATTTTGTGATGAAATAATTTATTTAAGCAGGGAAGCCAAGCAGGCAAATTTGTCGGCTAAAAGTAAATGTTATTTTGGCTCGGACGCCAACGACCCACGTATTCAGACGAGAAGGTTAATATTTCTTTAAAATGCGTGTACCGGTGTATAATAACGCGTGTCCAGCTTGGCAGACTTGATTGGTCAGAATAGGTGGTTTCCAACGCGCGCGAATACACGAGCACGACAAGCTGACGAAGGGAAGAACACACGTAGTTGTGCTAATCGCATTAGGGACAGCGACCATAAATATAAATACTCGTCGGGACGACCTGGCCCCGGCGGATGTTAATTCCGGCCGTTCTCGTTACCAGCTAATAAATGTGCATTACAATCACCCCGAGATATGGAAATTCTCGCGCTATGCCTATCCAAGCACCTTACCGTGGACCGTGTGTTAACTCACGGCGCCCCTTCTCGCAATATCCCTCCTCGCAAGCGGTGATGAACGCGTCCATGGATGGAGCGTCCGATTCAACGACCGGGTAGACAGGCGAGCTCGTTACCCCTCGACCAACCGACGACGCGACGTCGGTCAACGGGAACTGTATTACCAAGTCCGTGTATCCCGACTATGTAAATAGGGACCGGCGAAAAGCGATCTTTGAGATCCGGAATCGAGACTGCATCAGCCATTCTACCGACTCGGCCGCGATTATACCCGTTCGTGTAACGACCGACTGACCGACCGGCAAATCGAATCCCCCGTAATATGCCTAGCGAGATAATCGATGCCACGTTATAGAATAATCGAACGTTCACGAATGCTTCTCCTCGTTTCCATACCTGAATCCTTCTCGTAATAAAAGATTTCGTATAGATGTGTTTCCTCGTATATAATGTGATACATTTTACATAATTACGAGAGGAAAATCTCTACCGATTTCTCTTATATATTTATATTCCGTTTCAAATATTATTGTACTTAACAAGAAATTGGAACGTTAATATAATGCATTTATTATGTCGAGGGTTCATTACGTAATAAATTTTCATCTGATTTCTTGATATCGTATATCGTGTAACGTTCTTTCGAGTATAGTTGAAAAATTGATGGAAACGTAATGGAGTTGAACCGGTAATTATATATATGCCCGTAAATTTTTTAATGGTACTCTGAAAAAACGTACACGATATAAACGGTACGGATGAAAATTGCAATTATGTAACAATAAACATTAATTAAGATAACATTCGTTAATTAATTTGTATGAACATTTACGAGAGATATTCTCACGAGCAAAGGCATAATACTCCAGAAGCTCGTGTATGCGCAAATGTTATCTCTCTTTGACGACGGTCAATTACCGTCCCCATATCGTTCTCATTACGTTAAAAAGTTCATTAACGAGCGTAATGAACTTAATCGCTAATCGCCGGGCTATCTTCGCCGG